TGTTGTGAAGCTCGATGACGATGTTTTCGTCGACGCAGCCGCGCAACACGAGCGGACGCAACATTGGCAACGGTTTTAGCGGGTTAAAGCGGTCATAGGGTTTATTTGGCGGCGGTGTAGCAGCGCCCGCCGACGAACCCGACCTGCCCGGTCCGGAGGAAAGATAGTCGTTGAAGATCAACCGGGGAATCCAGACCGGGTCGACCTCGCCCCTTCGCGGCGGCGTCCTGCAACGTCTGACTGCCGGCCGAGGTATCGTTCCGGACAAACCACGCATCGATCGCATCGTCGATGATCTTTTCCTGCACCAACCAGTGTTCGCGAAGGTCTTCGCGTTGTCGAGCGGTCAGGCTGGCGAGGCGCACCGGCCGGGGGACGGTCCGCTCCTCCGCATCGGCGAGCGCGCTTTGCACGCCGCGCCGTTCGACGGGATCGTAGCGCTCGTCGATCGCGTCCCATTGCGGTAGCCCGCCGGTACGTTGCAGGTCGGTGAGCGCGATGGTGAGTTCCGCCAGCGTCCGTTCGAAATTCATCCGGACCGCGCGGTCGCGATCGGTGGCGTGATAGCGGCGCTGGTCGTCGGGTTCGTGATGCGGATCGCTCAGATAATGGTGGCGGCATCAACCTCCCGAGAAGCTCGCGCGCGATGGTCCGGGCGAGCAGCGCCTGATCCGCCGGCGTACCGACTTGCAACCGATCGACCATAAGGTTCAGGCGTTCAGCAGGTCGATGACCAGCCGTGCCCGCTGGCGGCGGTGATGCAGGCGCGGCAGCGTCTCCGGCCCCTCTTCCGCGCCCGGCTTGCCGTCATACCACAGGTCGCGGCACCATTTGAGCAGCGGCACCAGCGCCTGCGGCATGAAGACCATGCCGTTGGGATCATGGTCACCTTCTGGCGTATAGACGACCGGAACGGAGATTGCGGCGATGCGGAAGTGCGCGCCATGATCGGTCTCCTCAAAGCATCAGGAAAAGGCGGGTGGAACGGCCCCCGTCAGCAGCAGCATGCCGATCGCGATGGCGAAGCCGGCCTGGATCGGGATCAGCCGCCGGGTCGACGGCAGCAACCGCTCCAGCGTCATGAACAGCGCCGCCGC